AACAGAAAGAAGCCTTTTCCAAATGGAATGAGTCACTTGTCTGAGTTTCCCAAGGAATGAGCAGAGACCTGCGCACCCTGGCTTCCTGGCCCCAAAGCTGCTGCCTTCCCACGCTGTCATGGTCCACCAGGACCCTCTCACAGGGTAAGCCTGGCCTCATCCAGCCCCCCTGCCCTCTTCCTTCAGCAGTTCCATGAACTGCTCCCGCCTGCGGGCCTTGGCCTGAGCCATCCCCCTCAGCCTGAAATGCCCTTCCTGTACATGGATCTTCGCGCAGTTGGCTCCTTCCTGTCATTCCGGTGTCAGCTCAAATGTCACCTCCTCCGAAAAGCCTTCCCTGTCCACCCACCCCAAAATAGCCTTCCAGTCACCCTCTGTTGCGTCACTGTTTTATTTGCTTCCCAGCAGTTATTCATGTCTGGTGAGTTCTTGTTTAGTTACCATTGTTACCCTCACTCCGTGCGTAATGACAACTCAGGCTACCGTGCGCAGGGCAGAGTTTCAGAAGTGTCATCCATCCTAAGTCACTTAACCTTCATGACCCCCTTTCATGGTAGATTCTTGCATTATCCCTATTGTACAGAAAAGGAAACTGAGGCAGGATGGGGGGTGGGGGGTGACTGGTCCAAGATTCTACCTTGGTAAGCTGTGCTCCTGTCACTACCAAAATATCAGCCCTTCAACTACAAAAAGACAACCAAAATTTTAAATGAGCAAAGGACTTAAGTAGATATTTCTCAAAAAAAAAAAAGTTATAAAAATGGCCAATAAGCACATGAAATGATGCTCAAAACTGTCAGTCAGAAGAAAAATGCAAATTAAAATCACAGGAAGATACCCTTTCATACCCACTGGAATGGTTTAAATTCTTTTTTTTTTTCTTTTTTCTCTTACTTTTTTTAGTGGTTTTGTTTTTGCTTGTTTATTTTCCTCAGGAAAAAAGGTAACTGGAATCGCAGGCATGAACCACTGTTCCCAGCTAACTCTAACAAAAGTCATTGGCGCCGGGCGCTTTGGCTCATGCCTATATTCCCAGCAGCTCAGGAGGCTGAGACAGGAGGATTGCAAGTTCAAAGCCAGCCTCAGCAAAAGCAAGGCACTAAGTAACTCAGTGAGACCTTGTCTCTAAATAAAATACAAAATAGGGCTGGGGATGTGGCTGAGTAGTTGAGTGCCCCTGAGTTCAATCCCTGGTACCCCCCCAAAAAAAAAAAAAGTTATGCAGTTATATAATAACCCTAACAATCTAGAGGCCAATATTATTATCACAATAAATATGAGACTCAGAAAGTCTAAGCAACTCACCTAGTCACACGGCTCAGAACAAGGTTAAATCGTAATTACAATCTGTCTCCCCATAACTAGTCTTCTTTCCATGACACCACCTTTTCCCCATCTTGTCTCAAGGCCCTATTCTCTGTAGTAGATAGAGGTCTTTAAACTACAGCCCACAGTCCAAACCCAGACACAGCCATGCATCTGCTTGTTGTCTGTGGCTGCTTTACAGAGACAGCAGCAGAGTGGCTACCACACTGAGCCTTTAGGCCTACAAGACAAAAATACTTACTACCAGGGCTTTTGCAGAAAAAGGTTGCCAACCCCAACCTGCAATGCAGCTTACTCCACAGTAAGTTCATTTGAACTGGGGTCTTAGTCATCTTCAAATCTCTAGAAAGAACAAACACACTTCCTTTTAAGGAGCTCAGTGCTGGTTACGGCACTCCCCAAGAACTTATGTTCATCCTTTCTGATTCCAAACCCAGGCCCTCAGAATCAATGGTCTCTGCCCTCTTCTGAAAGCACATGTCAATGAGTCAATGCTCCCAGGACTTGGATCCTTCTCCTTCACATAGCTATCAGGTTTGAGAGCTGCCTCCCACTGGAGACACCCATGGAGAAACTGTCTCTCTAGCACCACAGAACCTTCCCAGGAGGGAAGCCTCCGGATACAATCGAAATGCAAAAAACAACAACAAAAAAATAATATTGTTCCTATACAGACCAGGATAACCAACTAGAAATATAATTTTTTAAAGTCCACTTGTAATTTTAAAAACCCTGTAAGGCATGTAGGACTAATGTTAATAAAAGATTTATATCATCTTTATAAACAAAACTATAAAATTCTAGTAATGGACATTAAAAATGGCCTAAGTAAGTGGATAGACCATGTTCATAGACGGGAAAATTCAATATTGAAAATGCAAAAATTCTTTCTCAAGTAGGGAGGCAAACACTCTTCACTTCTCCCCTAAATGAAAAGTTTCTAAAAAATAATAGGAGAGCCAGGCCTCGTGGTGCACACCTATAATCCCAGAGGCTGAGAAAGAAGAATCACAAGTTCAAAGCCAGACTCTGCAAACTGGCAAGGCCCTAAGCAACTTAGTGAGAACCTGTTTCAAAAAAAAAAGGTGAGGGGTGGGTGGGGTGGGGTGGGGGGGTGCTGGAGATGTGGTCAGTGCTTAAATGCCCCTGGGTTCAATCCCTGGGAACAATAATAGCTAGTTTTATGGAGTGCTTCCTCAATAAAGTAATTATTATAACATCTGTTATTTCCATTTTACAGAAAAGGGAACAGAAGCCCAGAGAAGCTAATCAGCTTGCCCCAGGACACACAGTGAGGCTGTGATGGAGCCAGGATTTGTATGCTAGATGGTCCTCTAACACCATTGCTGTCTCTCCTGCCTTCTGAGAAGCTCTGTGAGTTAGAGGAAGGTGGAGTTGCCGTAAGCACACCATGAGTGAACTGCAAGGTGCTCTGGGACAGCATACATCTTGTGTGCCCAGGGGAGGCACCTGAGAACCGGGCTCCATCCACGTGGCTGATCAAGGTTCCCTTCTGTTGCTCTGGGGAACTTAGGCCCTGATGCCTGAGCCACACCCAAGCTCCCTAGAACTTCAAGGAAGCCCTTCTTCCTTGGCCTGCAGGTGAGCCCCTGGCTCCCTCTGGGTCCACCTTATTTTACTCTGCCTCTCTCCTTTCTGTTGGAACCTGTCTGTCCCATGCATTCTGACCCACATGCCCATATTCAGCCCTTACTCTGAGACACAGGTGAGGAGGTGCCCTGAGCAGGAGCTTTCTGTCTGCCCCTGCTTCTTGTGCCCTGGGCAAGTTCCTGTGTCAAATGTCAGAGCCCAAGGAATATGTCTGGCATCCAGCTGATGCCCCTGCTAGGTGAGGGGTGCAGGGAGCCCAGTGAAGACACATCCTCAGTCTTCAGGAGCTTGGCCCAAGAAAACCACCTAATTCAATGCAGAAGGATCCCAGACTTAGGGCAGAGAGAGGTACAGAGTGTCAAGGAGCTCAGAGTAGGGAGAGGCTTCTTAGGTTCCAATCACAGCTCCTACACCCTCCAGCTGCATGAACTGGAATAAACTACTTAAAGGAGGCAAAAATAATGGCCTCCCCAAAGACACCCATGTCCTAATGCTGGAACCTGTCAATATGAGTGAATTGCAAGGTGCTCTTCCATGACGATGGCAAATGAGAGGGAGAATTGAGGAGTTAGAGATTACCCTGGGCTACACCAATGGGCCAGATGTAATCATGATGGTCCTTAAAAGTCAAAGAGGAAGACAGAAGAGTCAGAGTGACTTAGGTGAGGGACTCTTCCCTAGCCACTGGGGGCTCGGAGCTAAGAAACACAGGCAGCCTCTAGAAGCTGAAAAGTCCAGAAAACATTCACCCCCGGAGCCCCCAGAAAGGAGCACAGCCCACTGACACCCAGATCTTAACCCAGTGAGACACATGTTGGACTTCTGCCATGCAGAATGCAAGATAGTGAACTTGTATTGTTTTAAGCCTCTAAGTAATTTGGTCTAGCTGAGATAGAAAAACTAATACGCTACCTAAATTCGTAAACCTCAGCTTCCTCATCTATAAATGGGGGATAACAACCATATTTGGTGTATAGACTAAGTGTGATGTTCAATGAAGCAATCTATTTTCAAAATAGGGTTTGTTTCACAGTAAGTATAAAATAACTGTTGGTAGGATTGTCATCCACCTAGATATCAAGGAGGGGCTCTCAAAAGAACTGTGATATTTATTTGGGAAATGCATTGCAATGGGAATACACATGCCCAAGTAAACTACAGGCCCGTTCAAAGAGGCAAGGGGGATAATAGATATTTTAAAACATTTATATTAGATATTTTAAAACAGTCATAGTGATTAATAACTTGGTCATAGTGATTAATAACGAGAGTGGTATCAGTCCACGGTTGAACAGGTACTGGGCAGATGTCCTTGTAGAAGTACTTTTTGTATAAGCTTTGGTGGCCTCTGTGCAAGCTCATGTGGTAGTCTTTTGTGATAATTATTCCCAGGAAACCGTGCATAAGAACCCTTCCTTCATAACCCACCAGCTTCATTTACTTTTTTTTTTTTTTCTTTTGGTAGGATTGACACAAGCCACTCCATCTTTATTCTGACAACTTTCATGTTTCTTTCACGTTATTATTGAGAGGTTCAGTAACTTTCTCCCTCAATAAACCCATCCAACCTGCCTTGGGCCAGGCCCTCCTCTGTAGGCAGCATCCCTCCTTGCCCTTTTCTGAGGCCACCTTTCCTTGGTCTTTGATTGTCCATTCCCTGGGGCTGAGGGCAGGTGAGATGATAGATTACAGGAGCAGCACCCCACTTTCCACAAGAAATGTCTCCTTTGCTGGAAGACAAGGGTGTATACCTGGTACTGAGGTATGGTCCTATTTTCAGAGTTGACCTTGAGCAAATAAAAAAAAAAAAAGCCTGTGTGCAAAATTGTTAGGTGTTCATTTTTCATCCATTCGTGTATTCAAAAACCAGTAAGTTTTCCAATACTGGATATGCAAAATAAACAAGGGAGGGAACGAAAAGTGACATCACAGTAGATTTAACACCAATGTTTATTAGCATGCACACACACACACACAAAAAAAAAAAAGGAGAAAAGATGGCCAAAACCTCAGAGGCCCCCAGTGGTGTGGTCCATTCCTGTGAATAAGACACCCCCGAGGTATTCAGCGCAGTCAGCCTGCCCGACTCCCCCTCTACAGGACCCACCCATCAGCTCTGCCCACACTTAAGAACAGGTAGGAAGGCCTGCAGGGGCTCTGCACCTTGAGCTATTCGTTCTAATGATTTCTGAAGGTTAGTACAATGAAGCAGACTATATACTCGCCATTCATCCCCAAAGCAACTTTTGGCTTCCCCACAGGGGCCCCAAGCCCATGAGGAGTGAAGACAACCATTTCTGAGTTCAAAATCAAAAGGAAGAGAAGCTTTGACCAGTTGCAGTATTATCCAGGTCATGACTCATCAAGATGCTGCTGGCTGGAAAAGAAGAAAATAATGTTAGGATGATGTTGGTGAAGAAGGGGAGGAGAAGACCAAGCAGCTGTCATTTCCAGAGCACCTCATCCATGGTCTCAGGCAACTCAGATGTGACATGCACTGGCTTTTATTTTTCTTTTTTACTTTTTTTTTTTTTTTTTTTTTTGCAGTACTTGGGATTGAATCCAGGGGTGCTCCACCACGGAGCCACATCCCCAGCCCTTTTTATTTTTTTATTTTGAAACAGGACATCGCTAGGTTGCCCAGGCTAGCCTTGAACTTGTGATCCTCCTACCTCTGCCTCCCCAGTCACTGAGACGAGAGGTGTGCACCACCATGCCTGGCACATTGAGTTTTTATCCTCAGAACCACCACGAGGAGTAGCATTACTGTCCTTACTTTACAGAGGAGGAAACAGAAAAGCAGACTTTTTTTTTTTTCCTCATTCAGCCAGTGACCTGGGGACTCAAGATCTGAAAACTGACCCCAGATTGCAAGCTGACCCCTCCCTCCAGCCACTGCCTCCTTGTCTTCATGTAAGTGGTAGCTGCTGTGCAATCTGCATGTGCAGGAGCCAGGCCTCCTGGCCCACAGCAGAGCCTGTCCGACTGAGAGAGGCCTCACTGGCCCTGGGTGCAGAAACCTCCCCGCTCACTCGCCTCACACAACGGTACTAAGTGCTACCATTTAAAGAGTCAATCGCAGGGCTGGGGATGTGGCTCAAGCGGTAGCGCGCTTGCCTGGCATGCGTCTGGCCCGGGTTCGATCCTCATCACCACATACAAAGATGTTATGTCCGCCGATAACTAAAAAATAAATATTAAAATTCTCTCTCTCTCTCCCTCTCTCACTCTCTCTTTAAAAAAAATAAAAATAAAAAAATAGTCGATCGCTGAGCACTGGGCTCCGTGGACATCCTTATTTCAGTTTACAAAAGCAGAAACAGAGACTTAGAAAGGTGAAGCAACTTGCCCAAGGTCATAGAGCTGGGAAGCAGAAAGGGGAACCCCGCTCTGGCCACGGCCGAGTCTGAGCATCTAACTTCTCCACTCTTAGGATCTGTTTTCTGGAAGAAGCCAAGAGAGAGCCTCCTATCATGGAAGACAAAGGTCCTTGGTGCAGGGGAAGCAGCACCAGGGAGTCAGGAGACCTCCCAGGCACACCAGGATGCCCACCCTAGAACGGCTCCCCGGGCTGGGAGGACAGGAAGAGGGGTGACAGAGCAGCCCCGGCCCTCAAACATGCCGTCTCTCTCCCACACCCAGCTCTCCTCAGGGGTCCTCCCCACACAGGACAAAGCAGTCCGGTCCACGTTAAGATCACAGGACTTGGAGTTGTCAGAAGACTGGCATGCCAGCCCCTGCCTCGCATGAATCCCCTCATCTGCTCAGATAGCTCCTCTATACCCTACAGTATAGAGGGTACACCTTGGGGAGGGGGTTGCGGGGGAGGGGGTAAGGGGGTCAAATGCTAACGCCCTGGAAGCCATAGAGTGATGCTCTAAAGGAAGCATCTCTGTCCCGATTGACAGTAGCATGAAATAAACAACAAAGATATAAGATTGCTTTTAACCCTTAACTACCCACTTATGTCCTGTCCTACTAGATCCACGAAAATTGCCGACAAAGAACAAAATTCACTGGGTGTTGTGATTTAGCCGTGGTGCCCCGCAAAAGCTCATGTGTGAGCCAATGCAAGAAGGTATGAAGGAGAAATGATTAAATTGTATAGCCTCAACCTTATCAGTGAAATAACCCCCTGATGGGATTAACTGGGTGATGGCTGGAGGCGGTGGGGTGTGGCCGGAGGAAGTGGTTCATTGGGGTGTGGCTATAGGGTATATATTTTGTATCTGGACAATGGAGTCTCTCTCTCTCTCTCTCTCTCTCTCTCTCTCTCTCTTTCTCTCTTCAGTGGCAAAAAAAGCTGACTAAAACACTGGGCTTAACCTCTGATGGGATTTTGTCACCTCATCTAACAGGATTTGGAAAGTGGGGAAGGACAGAGGGACAGTCAGGGAGAGGCCACCTCCTCCAGGACCAGGGGAGCAGAGGAGAGGCACACAGGGCATGCTGGGGACACTGGGCAGCCTGCAGCAGGTGGCCTGGAGGAGCAGGCCAGGGAAGAGGGAAGGTAGAGGGCAGGCGGGCCTCTGTGGGGAGAGGGGGCGGGGGTCAGGGAGTCTGGTCATGGAGCCAATAGGAATGACTGTGGTGACCGCCACAGGTCAAGCCCACAGATGCTGACCCCACCTGGAGGGACCGGAGTCTCCACAGCCCAGACGTGGATTTCAGGGTCCTATCCCTCCTCTCGTTGGCATCTCCTGGTGGCTGAGCCCCGTGTTCCCCAGGGCTCCTGTCTCTCTCCTGCCTTGTGCTGCTGCCTACAACCCAGAAGCAGCTACCAGCTGGCTCCCTCACCACGTTCCAGAAGGTCTCCCAGCCCATGCACATGCCGTCCACAGCTACCCACCTCCAACAGAAGCCGGGCCACTCCGGGGCTGGCCCACGCACGCCCTTACACAGGGTGGACCCTGTTCCTGTCGCAGTGGGGCTTGCAGTGAGGGTTCAGCCAGTGCTCCAGAAACTGTTCCTCAGCACGGTGCTCCAGGGCCAGCAGGTGATGCATGTACTCCTGTGGGGACAAGCCGCAGTGACCGTGACAGTCAAACTGCCTGTGTGCATGGGGAGGCTTCCTGAGGGCACAGCTTGGTCAGGGGAGGATAGGAGGACAGACAGGGAGGAAAAACCACCTGCCAGGCCCGTGTCTCTCCATGGGGAAGACCAGTCAGACCCACCATCAAGGGGGTCCATTGCTAAGGGGGTGTGTCCCCACCGGACCCATGCCTGTTTGTGGAGTGTAACTGGGAGCCACCATTCTGAGAGAAGCTTGGTGGACTACAATCTAGAAATTTCCTTTCTCCTTGGTTACCACTTTACCAGACATACGCAGACTTTTTCTTGCCATTATTCCCCAACAATGCAAATTTATGATAGCATTATATTAGGTATTATAAGTAACCTAAGGATAATATAGAATATTCCAGAAGATGCACAGAGGTTCTATGAAAAGCAGAAGCTATTTTATATAAGGGACTTGAGCGTCCTTGGATTTTGGTATCTGTGGGAGGTTCTACAACAGAACCCTCAGGGAGACCTAGGAATGAACCTACAAGTAAGCCATCAGGTGGGGGCAGCTCCCTGTGGGTCTGCCACCCTCCCTCTTTCCTCACATCAGGGAGGCCCCTTCCTTCCCTGTCCATAGCTGTCATTTAGCCTTTGTTAATCTCCGAGCTTCTCTTGAGCCACAAGTTCCCCCTCAGATGGTTCACCTGAAGATACTTTAAAGAAGAAACCACTCACGGCCATGTAAGCAAGGTTACTGGTGTAGATCATTTCAGCACCCAAGGACCAGAAATAGAGGCACCAGGACCATACCTAGGCCTGCAGGGCTCAGGGTACAGAAGGGCTAGAGGATCCCATCAGAGATGGAGCCATGGCCCATGGGGGTGGGTGGCTCTGGTCTTAGAGGGCTGCTGCATCTGCAGAGCAGGGTTGAGCAGGGAACACCTCTTGCCCTCAGTCTTCTACAGAACCCAATCAGTAGCCTGCCACCTAGGGAACCAGGTGACCCTTCCTTCTAAAGCATTCTGGGTGCTCTCAGGGTGAGATGCAAACCATTGCAAAGTAAACATGAAACAGATCCACATAAATATTATTTAGGTACCCAGAAGAGCCAGCTGTTACTCAGAAAAGCAGCATTTCACCTTGGGAGAAAGCAGACGCCGGGGTAATACAGTATTTATGACATGATTAAATTATTTTGGTCTGTATCTATAGCAGAGAAATCTTAAACCATAGCTCAGTGATAGAGCTTGTGCCTAGCATGCATTAATACCTGGATTCCACCCTTACCACCACTTAAAACAAACAAACAAACAAACAAAAGATTAAATGAGAATACAAATAAAGTTCAGTGCCAAATAAGTAGCCTGCATTCACCCTTCTGATCCATTCTCTCTCCCTGTTCACCTGGCCCTGTGACCCAGACGAATTATAACCCCAGATGCCCTCGTTCTATGGCTTCCAGTTGGGTTTGATCAATGGAGGCACCCGCAGGAGGTTGGAGGACTGAGGACAGGGTATTTAGTACCTTGGCTCCTTCAGAGGAGCCAGAGCAGGTGGCTGCATTACCCTCCTCAAGGTCATGGCTCCTGGGAGCTGCCTTCTCTAGGTGTAGGAACCATCTTCAGCCCTTACTCCTCCTTGCCTAGGGGTTCTTAGCCACGGATTCTATATCATTTTTCCCCTGCAGTCTATCCACATCCCTGCAAAAAATCTCTTTATTAAATTTTCCTAAGTTACCCGATTTCCCTTGCTGTATCAGATCTGAACTGAATGTGCCAAAGTAGCAGCGGGTGAAATGACACATCTTGGCAGAAATCTCGGGCCAGGTACACACTGCTCATGTTGAATTCTTCATTTCCACACTCACAGTTACAAAAATACAAATAAAACATCCTGAAAGCACTAATTCCTCAGAGGAATCCCCAGGGAAACAGTAGAGAGTGATCCATTGAACTAGCTGTGTTTCACAGGTGCGTTTGGTGACATCTTGAACATGAGCCAACAGTCTGTCACTCAAGGGAAATGATTGACAGTATTTGCTGAGAAATAATGTAATTTGAGCTCTCAGGAGGAAATTAGAATTTTGGAAAACTTACATCGGCTACCAGGAGCTTGACAGTTTCCCAATACTTAATGGCATTGCTGATGAGATCCCTGAGGATATGAACAGTGTCACCAGTAATATACAGCCTCTTTTGCAATTAGATGCTCATTTGCATTGCTCTTCAATTAAACCTTGTTCTCCTCAGCCAGATATCCCATCAGTGTTTTGTTTTGTTTTGTTTTTTAAGAAATGGGGTCTTAGGTGAGTGCGATATGCACACCTGTAATCCCAGCAGCAGAGGAGGCTGAGGCAGGAGGATTGCAAGTTCAAATCCAGCCTCAGCAAAAGCAGGGCACTAAGCAACTTGTCTCTAAATAAAATACAAAACAGGACTGGGGATGTGGCTCAGTGGTCAAGCTTCCCTGAATTCAATCCCTGGTACCAAAAAAAAAAAAAAAAAAAAGAGAGAGAGAGAGAGAGAGAGAGGAGAGATGGGGTCTTGCTATGTTACCCAGACTGGTCTGCAACTCCTGATCTCTAGTGATCATCTCACCACAGCCACCTGAGTTGCTGGGACTACAGGCATGTGCTACCTCCTCTGGCCCAGAAAGCTTTTTGATGGCAGTAATTGAGGTACACCTAGTGACTGACACAAAGTAGGACCTCAAGACCACTCATTAGGGAAACATACAAATGAGCAAATTGATTTAAAAGAAAAAAAAAAAAGCCCGTGTTTTTTTCTTTGTAATCTTAATAAATCCTCCTTGGAAGTTTCCTCAACACCTGTGTTGATCTGCTTGTGGTGCTGGCCCACGCCAAAGGTACATAAAAAACATTCAAAAGGACTATCTATCTCACACTCCTAAACAGCAGCTAAAATCATCGTAGAAGAAAAACAACCACAATACACGCAGAGAAAAAGAAAGAAATCAGTACCGGTTTCCATGACATTTCACTATTTATTTAAAATGTTATGAAAGAGAATGTGCCAGAAAGGCCTAAAAGCGGTCATTAGTCAAAAAGGAAAAGTCAAACGGCAAATCTGCTAAAAAACCGCAAATTCAACAATTGCATTGGCCGGGTTAGAAATGACCCACATTAATGATAATCTCAAATGTTCCTGGACCCAGAAAGAAAGGGGAGATGGAAAATGGATTTTAATTTCTTTAGATTCCTTTCTCGGGGGCAGGGGAAATTAAACGAAACAAAAACCAGTATGTGTGTTCCATGTCAAATGCCAATGGCAATAACTTAAGTAAATAATTTCCCCAGTAAATTAGAATAGAAATTAGAAATAGACCCTTATGACGGCACTGGAATGGTGTGATAATGAAATTAAATATGCTCTGAAACCAGATCTAAGCCGAGAATCACAAAATGGAGAGTTACTCTATCAAGGCAGAAATTTTTCCCAAAAGGCAAAATCTTTTCTGTGACATTTGGGCAGAATTAGAAGTCCGTCAACATTTGGAAAAACTATCTTGCTCATTAATAAAAGCAAGGTAATCACAGAGGCTGGATGGTGGCTCAGAACTGAACTACCCTGGGACCCTGAAGGCTCCACCCACCTTCAGTCTGGCTGGTGAGTGTGATTTACATCTCAGTCACTCGGAACCATCTTTGAGATCATGGGAACAAAAGGGTAATGGGTTCCTACATACATTTGTCAAAGGCCTGAGCGTGAAGGCATATTTTACAAAGATGACTTATAACAAAGCTAATATGATTTATATTTGCCCAACAAGAACATTCCTTAGGCAGGCATGGCAACACACGCCTGTAATCCCAGCAGCTCGGGAGGCTGAGGCAGGAGGATCACGAGTTCAAAGCCAGCCTCAGTAACCTAGCTAGGCCCTAAGCAACTCAGTGAGACCCTGTCTCTAAATAAAATACAAAATTGGGCTGGGGATGTAGCTTAGTATGGGAGGGTCCCAAGTACAATCCCTGGTATACCCCAAAAAAAATATATATTTTTTTTTTCTTAAAGGCACACAGGCCAAAAATGGCAAGCTTTCTAGGAAGACTTATCCCCAGGTATGCAAGTTCACAAAAGACATCTCTTTAAAGAATCTCCAGGGTTCACCCCCCATGATGGGCAGATATTTTCTTCCCTAAAATCTGGGAAGAGTAAGAGAGGTGAAATGAGTTTAAGGGAAACGATAGAAAAGACTTCTTTGAAATAACCTCCAGGTTCTATGGAAGAATCATATCCCATAAAACTTTCCYCCCCCCCCCCCAAAGAAGCAGAAAAAGTAAAGGAGATAAGTACTAAGCATTTAGTAAACTCCACAGTGTATTTGGTGCTGGGGACCCAGAAGTGGGTCTACCTCTTGAAGCAATTTAGAGCAGAATATTAGGAGAGACCAAAAAATGCCAAAAAGAGCAATCTTGTGCTGCAAGTGACAGAGGGGTGTTCTGATTCATTAGGGGGAGGAGAGGCAGTAGGAAGCCCCCCCAAAAAGGGTATCAATTAAAGTGAGCCTCTCCAAGTGAATTAGGGTTAACCACTGGACGAGAGCAGGTACCACGAGAGAAGAACCTGAAGCACACCGTCGTCCCCCGTAAGCTGCCTCTCTCCCCAGCCACCCTTTGTCAGTGSGGCACCCTGTCGGCCCTGCGGAACCCCACAACTCTTTTTACTCCTACCCTCCCTCTCTGCACCCTCTCCTCCTGCCCCAGCTACAGCCACTGGTCTCCAATTCAGCACCATCATCTCATTCTCACCATAGCTTCACTCTAAAATCCCTACTAGAACATTCTATYGGAGGTCAGGAACATAGAGTGTTGGAACTCTTTTGCAAAGTGATTCACAATAATAGATACTAAAAACTTTTTGAAACAGCTGGGTCCTTGGATCTAACAACCAATTTTCTGGAAATGTACTCATAGCAAAGCATTTTATTTAAAAAAAAAAAAAAAAAGTTTGAAATGTTGTTTATGATAGGAAAATATTGGCAATGAGGGAGTAATAAAAGGTAATAAATCAGCAAAAATTATGGTTATAAATATTCCATTAAAATATGAAGAAATGTGGGCTGGGGATAAAACTCAGTTGGTAAAGTGCACAAGGYCCTGGGTTCAATCCCTAGCACCACAAAAARTAAAAAAATAAAGATAGATAAATAAATAAATAAAATACACACACACACACATATATGAAGATRTATGTGTAATATAGTAATAAGAGAAGAGTCAGGAAACAAAACTATAGATTCTTTTTTAAAAAACATACAAAGAAATATATATACCCACACAAAACGAGTAGAAAGAATTACATTCTCAAATGCCAATGCTCTTTAGGGAGAAAGAGTAGAACTATATTTTATTCTTTGACTCTTTTTGATTTCCAATTTTTCCACAACAAATGTGAATGGTTTCAATTTTTTTAATTATACACATAATACCCAAAGCATACTGTTATTTAAAATTTCAACACCAAATAGGAAGTTCACTAGACCACCACCTGCAGTCCTTCTCAGTGAGGTGATGTGCTTACCATTCACCTGATCATCCCTCTGGATGTTTTTCTAGAAATATACATACATGGAAATGCACCCATATAAATAGTGAATAGCACTGTTTTGTGGCTGAGGACAATACTCCCTCCTTATCCATGGGGGACACAGTCCAAAACCCGGAGTGAACACCTAAAAACTGCAAGAAGTGCTGAGCCCTATATACATTGCTTTTTCCTATACGTACAGACATAAGATGATTTTTTAAATATTTTTATTAGTGCATTATAGTTATACATCATAGTGGGGTTCATTTTGACATAATGATACATGTGTGGAATATGATTTGCGACATTGCAGTACTTCCTCCTTCCTTTCCCTTCTCCCCCTCCATGTTCCCTTCCTCTACTCTGTTGATCTTCTATTTATTCATTRGTTTTTAATTGGTGCTTTATAGGTATACTCAAAGGTGGAGTTCACTGGGTGTATTTGTATGTGTACATAGTACAATTGGGTCAATTTCATTCTGTAGTTCCTATGATAAAATTTAATTTGGGCCCAGTAGAAAATTAACAGCGATAACTAACAATAAAATAGAATAATTACAATATACTATAATAAAGGTTATGTAAATGTGTTCTCTTTCACTCTCAAAAAAACAAAAAAAGAAATTTTTTTTTCCATTGCTGGGGATGGAACCCAGAGCCTCAGCTAGGCTGGACAAGTGCTCCACCACTGAGCCACATCCCCAGCTCCCAAAATCTGTTATTGTACTGTATTCATCCTTCTTCTTTCTTGTTTTGTTTTTGTTTTGGGTATGGGGGATTGAACCCAGGGGCACTTAACCACTGGGCCACATCCCCTAGCCCTATTTTGTATTTTATTTAGAGACAGGGTCTCACTGAGTTGCTTAGTGCCTTGCTTTTGCTGAGGCTGGCTTTGAACTTGCAATGCTCCTGTCTCAGCCTCCCGAGCCACTGGGATGACAGGTGTGCGCCACCTCGCCCAACATTGTTTTGTTTTTTCCTTTTTGGGTGGGGGTGTGTGTGTGTGATGCTAGGGATCAAACTCAGGGCCTCTGACCTGCTAGGCAAGTGCCAAAGCCCTACCCTTCTTGTAGTGATGATGTGAGATGATCTGATGCCTACTAGAGCAGATAAAGAGAGGGAGAGAACATAGCATTGAGACATAATGTTAGGCTACTTCCTGAGCCTTCACTGAAGACAAGCACTGCAGCACCAGGATGGTGTTCGTGGTTCTTTGTTATAGCAGCTTTACGAAACTAGTACACCGAGTAACTGCATCAAGTGTAAAGATGAAGATAACAAATTTGTCCCAAATCTTATCACCCAGCAAACATTGCCCTTTTTGTCTGACAACATGTCTCCCTACACACACAAACACACACACACTTAGAAATAGAAATGTAGGTGGGTGAGTTTTCCTTGACAACTGTCTTCCAGTTGTGAACGTTGTACATGTGAAGTCGGCCTCCCCTCAGGCCCTCACTCCAGGCATCCTCCTCTGAGTGGCCATGGAGCCACCTCCCTCACCCCCCACCACCCTCCTTCCTGGTCCTGGTCTCCTGGCTCAGCCACCCCACTACCTTCCTCTCAGCATCCCCAGGGCTCCTCCATCCTGCTCTGCCCACCTCTGAGTGTCAGTGACCCAGACTCCAATCCTGGGCCTCTCCTCTTCAAATTGCTCCATCGACCGTGTCTAAAACCCAGATCTGTTCTGCTCCATTTGAAAAATCCTTCTGTTACTCTCTTCTGAACACCAGGTGAAGTCCTGGGTAGGAAACCTTTCTTACCCCTGCTCCTGCCCACTCCCCAGTGCCCTCCCGTCCTGCACCTGGGTGTTCTGAACCACCCCTTATTTCCTTCTGCCAAAAGAGGCACTTCTATCCTTGACGGCTGAAGTCCTGATTCATTTTTAAGCCCCCACTGAGTCAGAGCCATGGGCTCCCTTCCCTGTCTCGCAGGACCCAGCAGAGACCTCAGCTACGCTTGCTATGGCCTGAGCACCTAGCTCAGCACCTGGTAAAGGAATCGTTTCCACTTGCCAAGTGCTGTTCTAAGGGCTTCACTGTGAACTACTTTGTTGTATCCTCTTGGAAGAGTTATTTTACATTTTATTGATAGAGCTATTACAGTAATATAAGTCATAACATTTGTTATCATCCCCATTTCGTAGAAGACGGTACTGAAGTGCAGAAATGTATAGGAAACTCCCCCAAAATTACACAGATGGAAAATGGGGAGATTCAAGCATAGTGTGACCCCAGCCAGCCCTCCCCAGGATCCTACCAGGCAGCATCCAATAGAGGCTTTTCAGGGAAATTGCCAAGATCTGGACAGGAGTCTGCAGAGAGTGAAGGGGAGTGTGGCTTTCTGGGCCTCCGCATGGAACACAGTGAAAAGAGGCTGAGCTGGTGCCTAGTCGAAGAGGCCCAGGATGGGAGACCAGCCTGGACCACAGAGACACTCCCCGGCTTCCTGACCCGGCTGAGTCGCTGCTACTTACCTTCTGGGGTAGAAATGTCAGGACTGCTTCAGCCACGGAGAGGCACCCAGCCAGGCCAGAACTGAGCTGGGAGGAGCACGGCAAGGTCTAACTGCGTCCACTAAACTGACAACATGAAAGCAAGAAAGACTAGGCAGGGGGACACCGTGAAGTCACAGAGCAGAGCTGAGGCCAAAGACCAAAATCAGAGGGACAGGACAGGGCAAGAACCCCACGGGCAGCTGTGACTCAGATTCTGCCTGCCTGGACAGACCATCGTGGGCCAAGGATACTGGTCCAGTCTGCCTGGGGCCCATACGGAAGAAAGTGAGGTGGGTATCAGTTAAAGGGTACAGCTCCCTAGCAACCAAGTCAGGGGTGTAACACTCCACATCCCACTCAGCCTACGGGGGCTCCACCATCAGCCCTGCCACCTCTATTTTAAATACCCCGTTCACAATAGGTAAGTGGAGCTGGCACCTCCAGGAGAGAGAAAACACAGGTAAATTTTGAGAGTGGCTGGGTGTGGTGGTGCACACCTGTAATCCCAGTGGCTCAGGAGGCTGAGACAGGAGGATCACGACTTCAAAGCCAGCCTCAGAAAAAAGCAAAGTGCTAAGCAACTCCGTGAGACTCTGTCTCTAAATAAAATACAAAGTAGGGCTGGGGAAGTGGCTCAGTGGTCCAGTGCCCCTGAGCTAAATCCCTAGTACCCCCCCACCCCGCAAAAAAAGAGTTTGAGAGTGCCTGTAGATTATACCTGAGACAGTAACAGGACCCCCACCCTGCAGCCCGTACTGGGACCAGCACCCAGTTTAGTTTCAAGGTAAATGAGCATCCAGCAGATAGCATTTTCTTTAAAATTGCCAAGGCCCACACTCACCCGCATTGGCTCGTCGGGGAATCCAGGTTTGCTGGGCCTGTCCTGTCGCCGGGATCTCAGGAGCTGTTTGGCCTGTTTTTCGCTCACAATCGGAGAGGCCTCTGGAAAATACCGGGAAGGGGCCTCAGGGACTGTCAGGAGTTCATGCTCCATCTCCACAGTCCCAGGCAAAGTGTTTGCAAGTTCAACTTCAATTAAAATACAAAACTTCTCTCTGAGGAACCTGTCCCAAAGGACACAGCATCCCAGAAGGCTCAGAAAAGAATTTAAAATTGTTTCTCAGACAGTGAACTCAGAAAAAAAGCTGCACGATTTAAAACCATTTACCTATTTCAATGGCCCATTCCTTTAAGACTGGGCATGAACTTAGTGAACATATTTTTAAGACATTTTCTCCAGTTCTCTGGTCTGCATTTCTCTTAAGTTCCCTCCAGTGGGATTTTCTTTTTTTTAAATCCTCAATAGGCAACATTGAGTCGAAAGTTGTTATTAAACGATTCCCAGGGACAATAAGATCATGTAAACTCAGTCATCCCACAAGCCCCTCAAAGAAAACACTGTGTTAATAAAATCATGTTGTTTTGGTAATCACATGCCAATAGGAAAAGCTATTAACAGAACCAAACTCTATCAGATACTGGTGATCTCGGGTGAATTCCAAAAGCAGTTAAAGATTTATCAGCATTTTATCAGCATTTTTTAGAATAGTTTCTCAAATACTTTAAGAATTTGAAAAGAAAAAGAATTTCTCCCTTACGTTAGTAATTCTGGAAGCCTGATCTTACGGGAAAGAGAGAAGAAAGAAGGAAGAAAGGGAGGGAGGGATTGAGGGAGGAAAAGAAAGAAAGAAGGGAAGGAGGGAGGGAGGGAGGGAGAGAGGGAAGGAGAGAGGGAGGAAAGGAAGGAAGGAAGGAAGAAGCAGAGTGCGGCTTGGGAGGCTGAGGCAGGAGGATGGCAAGTTCAAAGTCAGCCTCAGCAACTGAGCAAGGTCCTAAGCAACTGAATGAGACCCTGTCACAAAAAGTAAAAAGGGCTGGGGTTGTGGCTCACTGGTCAAGTGCACCTGAGTTCAATCCCTAGTAGAAAGAAAGAAAGGGAGAAGAGAGAGAGAGAGAGAGAGAGAGAGAGAGAGAGAGAGAGAGAGAAATGAAGTATCTATTCAATATACACTAATATACTACTTGAAATGAAACAATATTTCAAAAGTACCAGACCCACTGTTATTCCAGGTTAGTGCAGTAGCACAGAAACAGGTGGTGTGGTCCGAGTCTGTGCCCACCTGCCAAGGAAGCCAGTAAGGCSACGGCAAGCACAAGCGCTGTTGGGTTCTTCATCCTGCCCGGCCTCTCTCTGCCTGTGGCTGAACACATCCTCCCGGCTGGGTCAGCCTACTTGAAGGCAGCCAAGTCCGTCAGTCTCAGTGCTTGTTGATGCTTCAACTAATAGGACTTGCCAGGTGACGCTGAGTGTGTCTGACTCTCGGATGTAATAAGAACCCACCGCTAAAATGTTTTCCTCTGAATTTCTGTGATTTTTTTTCATCCTGAGGAAGGAAATTATCCCTCTACAAGATGAATTCCAAGGCTTGACTTTCAGAAGGTGCACGTGATGTTTATTTCAACAGACTTTCCAGTAAGTTCTTTAGTCGTTTGTGGGTATTTACCTATAGATGCAGTCTATGCTCCTGTTTCACTGAGTAGCAATCATCTCTTACATTTGCCTATTTTAGGACATTTTTCCGAAGCCTATTTACCAATCTACAAGGTTGTTTTTCTGTTTGTTTGTTTTCCAGCTGATTTGGGAACCAGAAAGTCCAGGGTTCAACTCCTGGCTTCAAGTCTCTCTGACACAGTCACTTTAGGTAAGCCACTGACCCTCTCTGAACTTCTGTTTTCACCTGTTAAAAGGAGATAACAGCAACTTCCTCGTGGGTTGGGGTAAAGAGTGAGGGGTAAGCTGTGACTAAGCACTGTCACCCAAAAGCCCTAGGGTCATTTACAAATGAGGAAAGTGAGATCCAGAGATGGAAAATCAAGTCCAAGTTCACCTATTAGGATGCTGAGGGACAGCCCAATCTTCTGTGCTCAAACCAACAATGTGTGTTCTTCCCACGGTGCCCCATGTTGGAGAGTTAAATGCCCCCTAAGACCCACGTGTTAAAGGCCATTTGTCCCCAGGGTGGCTCTATTAGAGACAGAGGAACCTTTAAGAGGTGACCCCTAGTGGAAAGCCCTAGGGTCATTCCAGGCATGCCTCCAAAGGGGTTGTAGAACCCAGCCCCTTCCTCCCTCTCTCTCTCTCCTCTGGGCTCCTGATGTAATCAGTTTTGCTCCACCACGGACTCCCACCATGATGTGCTCCCTCATCACAGGCCCAAAACAATGGGGATGACTGATCACAGACTGGGACCTCCAAAATAGCGAGCCAAAATAAATTTTTTCTCTCTTTTTTTTATTATATATTTATTGGTACATTATAATCATACATAATAATGAAATTCATGATGCCGTATCTGAAACATGCACATAATTTGATCAAATATCATTCCCTAGTATCTTTCCTTTCCCTTCCCTCCTTCCTCCTTCATTTGCTATACTCAACTAATCTAACCTTTTCTCTTTATAARTTAGTTACCTCAGGTATTTCACCATAGTGATAGAAAGCTGACTATCACATCCCATGATCTCAGGGGTGGCCCTTCATCTTTTATAGGGCCTTATGCAATATGCCATCAGTAAGACCTTAGACAGCCTCACACCAGACTCAAGACTGTTTTCATAAAGATAAGAAAATCTCAATATGCTGAAGTTCTCTTAAAATCATTTATAAATATTACATGAAGAAGTTTTTAAGTATATTATAAAATATTCTAGGAGGGATGTGTCATCTTTTTGGATAAAAGTCTCCATTCAGGAGACTGATGTTTCTCTGGTCACTTTGCCAGCTCAAAAGAAAACAAAACCTGTTCTGTAGTCCTCAGAGTCTATGCTAATGCTGTGTAACTGATATTAAACCAAAATATTCTGCCTACTTGGTTGGCATAAAGACATTCTGAGCAGATTGTAAACAAGGAAAAAAAAAAGTCATGCATTGTTAGCCTAACTTGCCTCACAGGATAATTTGCTCAAAATGTGGTGTTTGGTTTTCTGTACTCTTTTGATAGGAACATCCCTCTGTTTTCATACAATTTCCAAAACTTGAGGAATTCTATGAGCGTTATTTCAGAAATGCATGTATCTGTCACATTAAATATCCTGGGTCTTTTATATACATATTCAAACACTTCATTCCTTTTAGTCTTTGTGGTTGGATAGAATACCAGCCATGCTGTTTTGTTTTATTAAATAAACATCTTCCGTGGACCAGAAAATAAACGGTACCTAGCTAGAAATTTCCAGTGTGTGGAGGGTAAATTTAATCAAAGCCTTTTTTTTTAATTGAGTCATCTTTGTCTATATCAGAGCTACACAATAAAAACCATAATATGAGTCTCAGAGGCAAGCCACACAGGCAGATTAAAGTTCCCCAGTAGCCATGTTTTGTTTTGTTTCGTTTTGTTTTGTTACTGGGAATTAAACCCAAGGACACTGTGCCTCTGAACCACCTCCCCAGCCTTTTTTATTATTTATTTTGAGACTTGGAATTTCTCCTGCTCAGACAAGACTGCCCTTACTAGTCTACTTAATAAAATTTCCTCACTCCATCACCACTACCACTACTGTTCGTCTAAGAGTACTTACCAGAATTTACAAATATTTGTTTGGTTTTTTAAATCTGTTTCCTCCCCTGGACTGTAAATCTAAGTAATTCTTGTATTGTTTTTATAAGGGACTGAAGAGGTGATTCCAGAGAGTCAGGCCTGTAGCACACCCTGGGATGCTGGTACACGGTCTCAGATGGAGAGAGCTGGTCAGATATGATATTCAAAGGTGTCATTCAAATGCCCTTCAGCTGGCCTCCAAGGATATTACCCCCAAAGCAGAAGGTGCTCTAGGAAGACTGAGTGTCACTGTGGTGAGGGGAATTCTCTTCTACTCCTCTACCCTGTTCCCAGTGAAAGCAGCAGTCAGATACCTGAATCAGATTYTCCAGAGAAGATGCAATTGCAAAACAAATCCACAAGGTGGCAGAGTAGAGAGGGGGATTAGGGAGGACCAAGGTCAGAGGAAAGAAACTCAAGGCCACCAAGGCCAACTACTCAGGAAGTTGCCAGGGGCCCAGCATATCACCAGAGGCGGAGAGAGATGGTGCTGCAGTGCCCAAAACTATTTCCCTACTATTTTAGCTAATGAATTACTTGAAGGTCTTCATCAGATTCCGAGGCCTAAGAAAGCTATGTTACCAAGATGATAATATTAAGAACATAGAAAGAAGGCTACAACCCATATTCACAGCACCTTACCGTAACTAATAGTTTCATTTGTGTGGGTTTCCTATTTCTTTTTTGAAAGGACTCCTAAGTCACACCAATATTTAAAGATCAATGATAAAGCAAATGCCACAGAATTCTCAACATTGTCATTCTAATACTGGTTTAATAGGAAAAGACAGTGATTTCAAATTCCATTAGCTAAAAAAAATTCTGAGATATGGGAACAACATAAATATCTATGTCTCAAGAAAGAGAATGATAAAGTGTCCCTTTTTTTTTTTTTTTAATGGTATCGGGGATTGATCCCAGGGGCGCTTAACCCCTGAGCTACATCCCCAGTCCTTTTTTAATATTTTATTTAGAGACAGAGTCTCATTGAGGTGCTTAAGGCCTCACTAAGATGCTGAGGCTGGTTTTGAACTCTTGATCRTCCTGCCTTAGCCTCCCAAGTCACTGGGATTAGCGTTTTCATCTTTTTATTGTCCATCTTTCCAACCAGACTATAAGCTCTTTATTTTCACAATATACACAAAATTCTTTCATAATTTTTAAAGTAGTGATAAGTAACTACATGCATACCTAACAAGCACATTAACTGAGAAGTACACAATTCAAGCTGATGTTAGGCTTGGGCAGGTGTGGTAGGTTGAACTATTAGGATCTATTCTTCACCACCTGCAACCTGACTTGGGCTCAACCAAGTGACTTGCTTTAGGGCAACAGGATAATAGCATTGGTGAAGGTCAATGTAACCCATTGGTGAAGGTCACCCACCCTGTTCAGTCCCAGCACCACAGCCTGAAGCAGAGCCACCATCCACCTGCAGAACCTTGAGGATAAATGATGGTTACTGAAAAACAGTGAGTCTAGGAATTATTTTATTATGTAGAATTATCCTGACGGTAGCTAACACATGCAGGAGATTTTAATGGGATGGCTAGCATTTCCAAATCTTGGTGCWCCTGGGCCTAAGGTATTTAAAATAATAGGGTCCTTCCAGAATATCCATTCAAAAGCAAATAAATACCCACCCTGCAAGCAGCGTGGTGAATGGTGGAGACTGAGGACTGGAGAGGCATGGATAGGCCAAGGCTCAAATCTGGCTTTGACACTGACTACCCTTGGAGCAGCTCAATCTTGGGCAAATTTCAAAGCTTTCCAACCCAATGCTCACTCATTTATTCAAACCAAGAATAATTGTAATCAAGTTTACCTTACAAGGTTGTCTTGAGACTTGAAGAGGTGGTACACATAGTGTTATGGGGCCAGGCTCTATGGGCAGTGAGCAAACAGACTCCATTTTACCCTGAGACTCCATATCATATAAGAAAAGGTTCTCCCATGGGAAAGCCCCGCCTCTGTACCCATTAATAGTTACCTAGCACAGCATACTTGGCAACACAAAATGTCAACTCTTATACAATGTAAAATTGTTCTCTCTTTGGTTCCCATTTTTCTTGGGCAATGTACTCTGAGATTGATTATCTAGATATTAGTAACCATTCTCTAACTTGTACTCAACCAGGTCATTTTGACTCACTTCCCTTSTGCTCGATTGCTGCTGTGCCAACCTGGAACGTCCTATGGGAAATACTAATGTACCCATCGCATTCCCTTACTAACTGCTTCTGTACCCCTGCTTGCTTGCAGCTGTATCAACCCAGATGTGGTTTTTGCAGGTTTTGCCTTTAAATGTTTAGGCTCGAGGCTGTTCCTTGCAGAGACAGTTATGGGTCCTGCAGGAAGCAGTCACCAGCCAGCCGCTAAATGAAGACTCTTCTATTTGGACAAAACTGGCACTTGGTGTGTTTTCTGAGCGACCTGCCCCACAACAGTAGGAGTCTCTACTTGGAGCCTAATATTTGGACACCATTATTGTGATGATGTTTCCTTTATGGCCGTTGAATTACAGGAAAGGTCCAACACCTAGAAATCATTCTGTCATCATTATCATTTCTCCTC